TTCTCATAATATGGCAACAGAAAACCACCTTTACATTTGGAATCTAAAGGAAGAGTAGCATTCCAGATAAAAACTGCATCACTAGGAATGACTTTTTTCAAACCTACCATCAGTTTCTTCATGTTAACATGATAAGAATCTGGACCACGAGGACCATATCGGTGAAGGTCCCAGAGGCAAGAGTTCATGATAACAGCATGGGGTTGCATAGTTTTGAGTTCATTGAGGACTGATTCCAAATGGTCTGAGTAACATCGGGTTGCAAAGTAAAATTTAACAACAGATGTTCCATTGTCATATTGTCGTACCTCACGGTAATTGATCCCTGTCTTGACTTCACCAAGCTGACCACCTTGCAATAGTTTATCATTCAAGAAGTCAATTTCACCCTAAACAAAAAGAGATCTTTGTTGGCCATGTCATACATCAGGACAATTATCAAGAGAATTTCCCACTCACACACAAAATGTATGATATGTATAATATACATGCATTAGTTTTGATAGGGGGAGTGAAAGCTCCAAGCCCTCTCCCCACCCCCACCCCCAATTACCTTTCTTATGACCCCCAAGTAAATCTACCCCTCCAATTTTTGCTAGGTTCTATCTAGATGGGATACTCGCAGTCCAGGTGATTGAGAGAGACTAGGATTAACGAAGTACACCATAGGTTTCCGAACACACGAGTGGGACTTTATAGAAATTTTGGTTCTCTTTACTTAGAAAAAAAACTAGGTGAAGACACCAAGAATCGAAACCCTAACCCTAACCACTAGACCACGAAGGGAATTTGCTGGGTGGTCTCATTTTTTAGACATATTAAAACACATGAATATTTATCATAGCTTAATTTATGCTATCATAGGGTACGACTACTAGCCGACTGAATAAAATTCCCCTGACAATTATACTCTCCCTAGTCTCTCTCAATCACCTGGACTGCGAGTATCCCATCTAGCCATAACCGTTTTGCTATTCATCCTGTGATAATAACCCTACCTGGGATAATAACAGAATATTTTTGGCTTAATTAATAGGTAGAGTGATGTGGATTTAGAATTAATATAAAACAAAGCATATTTTTACAAGATGAATGTTACCTGGAAGCTTAAATCAAATTGTTAGTTCATGAAGGCATTACCTTCTAAAATATTTGACAAGCTAGGTAAATGTATTCCTTGTATAAAAACTTAAATAAGTCAGTCTTCTTTCGTTCAAAATTTAGCAAAAACCAGTTTAATATTAAGTTAMACCTAGCTATTCTTCTTTGTCATTTGTTATATAAAGACTTTTAAAAGATAAGACATACCTTGGCTTTGAGCTCCTTTGAAGTTAGGTATCT